GAGCCTGCCCTGCTCCAGATCAGCCCACAGCATCTTTTATTTTGAGGTCAGTGGCAGCTGCTGGCACGCCTGGCCTTGCTCCCTGTTTACTTTTTAAGCAGCTCAATGCAAATACAAAATTAACCGCTTCTTTGGGGCGCTTTAACCGTTTCATTATTCCCCTGGAGGAATTGAGGACGACTTAACGTGGTGCTGGTGGCCTCTGCGCAGCTGTGTCCGTTTGCACCGGATGAGGCTTTGGTCCTTCTGCTTAATCCCGGGCTTGGTCATTGAGCCCTCGCTAATCGCTGCCTTGCCCTGTGCTCACGTACAACCTGCAGCGTGACTCTGCCTTTGCTTTCCTCCGGAGGATGGAGGAGAAGGGGAGAGGGGTCTGTGCAGCTCTCCGGTGATCGTCTGCATCCTCTGCCCCCTCAGGGACTTGGGGGGGGCCCTAGAGGAGGCGTTTGTCCCCCAGCCCCCCGCCACGGCCCTGCAGGGACAACAGCCAGGAGTGGCGGGCGGCCAGCAAGACGTCATCTGTGTGCTGGGAGCACACGCTGTTCCCTTTCTGCAAGTGACTCGGGAGGAAGGAATTTAATGCAGAATTTCCTCCTTAAGGGCTCTGGCCCTCATTCTGGGTACAGTCTCCCAGGGGAAGGATTTTGGCCGGCTGGGAGGCAGGGGGCCAGGGGGGCTGTGTGGGATGCTGCTGAGGGGCCATGCAGGGGTCCCCCAGTTTTCCCCTTTCTGCTGATCTCTCCTTCAGAGCTTTCAGTAATTAGCAGGGGAGGCTGGAAGATGGGGCAGCTGGGAGCAGTGCAATGGTGGTGACAGTGCCAGACACACCGAGGGCTCGCTGCCCTGCACATGGCAAGCCTGTGGCAGGCTCGCAGCCGAGCCACGTGGCCGGCCAGCACGTGAACTGCTCTCACCCAAAAGCAAGAGCCTCTCGCCAGGCTGGAAATCGTGAGCTCTTTGCAGGAGCAGCGCTCTGTTACGTGCCCTGCAGCCGTGATATTTGGCTTTCGCTCCCCGCTGTTTTGTCCCCGCAGTGGTCAGGGTGCTGGGAATGGGCAGCAGCAGCGCTTGCAGTGCCACCCACTTGTCACGGGCACCGAAGCCCTTTGCAAATTCCCCTTTAAGAAGTAGGTCAGCATCAAATCTCTCTTTGGAAAGAGGAGAAGCGGAGACGATTAATTAACGTGCTTGGTATCTCACAGCCAGGCCATAGCGATGCTGCCAGAAAGCATCCCCTGGTGCCAGGGGGAGCTGGGCTCTTTCGGTGGGCACTGCTCGGGGTGCCAGCAGCATGGGGGTGCTCCTTGCTTCTTCTTCTTCCCCGGTGGGTGCAGCCTGGTCACCTTCCAGCTGCTGTCACGGCAGCAATGCGGCTTGCTGGAGCTGATGCCTGGATGTTCGCAGCCAGCTCCTGTTTAAAAGCAGTACGGCTGGCGGTGATGTAACCCGGCACCAAAAATAGCTGCAGGAAGAGTCCCTGGAGCAGCAGGAGAAGCTGCCGGGGAGGGCGATATGGGCAGGCTGGATCCACAAGAAATGACATTTCCAATCAGTGCTGCTTCGCCCTGACCCCTTGGCATTGCCAGTCCTGCCTCCTCCCCGATGGCTGCATCTTGGGGCAGGCAAGAGAAAATAACAGGAGGAAAAATGCATAAACAGGAGGAGAAAATGGGGGCTGCCTCCGGGGAAAGTTGGCTAAAGGGAGGAGGACAGAGGGGCTTTGGTCCCTGCTGCAGCAGGTTAGTGCCTGCACACCCTTGGCATGAGCCCCGTGGTTATTCGGTCGCTGCAGGTTTGGCTGGCAAGGAGAGGAGCTGCCGGCGAGCCTGATGAGCAGGAGTCGTGCTGAATTTCTGCAGGGAAGCAGAAATTCATGTAGCACTCGGCCCATCTGCAGCAAGAGCGATGAGCGAGGAGTCACAAGCCCTTTTCTTCCTGGCTTGACTGCACAAAGGCACCCTGTGATGTGTGAAATACAGACAGTCTCCTCTGAACCGCTATTTTTGCCAGCGTTTCTTTCTCTCGGTTGATTTACTTGTGCAGAACCTTGCGAGCATTATATGGGCTTGAATGGGGACGAGAAGTTCTCTGCAAAACTGGTTCTTCACCGAGGTGGCTCAGTGAGGGACATCTGCAGCTCTGACCTCCTCTCGCTTAAAGGCAGGGTCTGCTGGGACCCTGGTCCCGCAGAAACGCAAGGGGAGCAGAATTTGGGGGGCGCATCTCCGAGTAAAACCCGGCTGTGCAGAGCAGTTGCAGAGAAGCTGGTAATTGGAGGGTGCGGATGGCAAGCTGGCAGTGGTTGAAGGACGAGCTCTCTCATTTTGATTGATATTTTTTATCTGAAGTGGCTTTTCCCTGCCCTAAATAGCCCGCACGGCTGAGCTCATCCAAGCAGTGACGGTGATGTCTGTGTGGGGAGCGTGGCACATTGACCAAACCCCGGTGTCAGCCGGTGTGGGAGGTTCTCAAATGTCACCCCAAGGAGCTTCACCTCCCAGCCATGCTCCTCCGCACCCCTGGGAGCTGGGCTTTGCTGGGGTGAGACCACGGCAGGGTGAATGCTCAGAGGGCAGAGAGCCGCTTGGCACAGGCTGGGTGCTGAGGTGGCCTTTGTGCCACTGCCTGTCCCCACTGGGATGCAGAGACGAGCAGGAGAGCGGGGATTAATTCACTGAGAAACGTCTGAGGGAGGCTCAGAAAAAGCAGAAATAGAAAGTGAGGTTGCAGGAGGGCGTACAGAGGGGGCTGGAGCTGCCTGAGCAGAGAAGCGAGAAGAGGAAACCAAAACCACCGGTGCTTTCCTGTCGGGACGGCCACCCTGCACCGAAACAGCTGAGCTCGCCCACGGTAATGCGCCCCTGTGCCAGGGCTGCAAGCCCCGGCAAGGTGGCACGCACAGGACTGCAGGCACTAGAAAACAGAAAAATTGCAAGGAAAAAAATTCTTCTGGCCTGCCCTAACCTTTGGGCTGTCTACACATTGTTCTGCTCGTGTGTTTTTTGACAAGTAATGGTTTTATCTTGTGAGAGCGCAGAGGAATTGTGCTGTGCCAGCAGCTCACTAGGGAAGAGAGAGTCCTGCTGGAGACGTGCAGCTTCAAGAGACATGGTTGATAAAGGCTGGGGAAGGAGAGGCACGGCAGTAGCTCGTGGCATGTTATCAGGAGCCCAAGCTGGATCTGTGTAACACCCAGATCTCTGAAGGGGGCACGCATCTCTGCGGGAAGAGGCAGGGAGCAGTGTGCCCGTATTACTGGCTCACAGCTCTTTTCCTGGTCACTCTCCTGCTGCTTTCCCAGGCACAAGCAGGTCCCAGCAGGACCCTGGCACACACACGTAGGGCACACGAGGCTTTGCAGGCCATGGAGAGGCACAGCGGGGTCGGTGAATACAGCTGGGCTGTGCCGCTCGGTGACCGCTCTGCCTGGCCGGGCGCTGGTGCTGCTCACGGCTTCAGCACTGCCGTGTCCTCCCCGCTCGCCTGCAGCCAGCAAACCGAGCCCGTAAACCATAAGCTACAGATGTTTTTTCCTTGTGGTGCCTGGATCTGATCAAATCGGTTAAAAGGAACTTGGAGGGGAGAATAAAAAACATTCCATTAATCACAGCCTCCTGCAGGAAAGCGCGGATCCATCACCTGCGACCCCTCGCGCCCTGGCTCATCAGGCAGTGGCTGTCAGCTCCCCATCCCCGCGGCTCTTGAGAAATCCCAGAGCAGAGCTTCCACCCTGGTAAACAGAGCCCGGCCGTGTTTCTGCGGTGTTTATCCCCTCTGCCTCAGCCTGTAACTGCTCAGGGGTGACAGAAGGTGCTTGGCAAGGCCGGCAGCAGAGCTGCCGAGGCTCTGGCAACCAGCTCTGCTGCCCACGCACAGAAATCCCCCCATCGCTAGCATTCTCCTTCCAGCTCCGTTCTCCTAATATTATTATTTTTGACCCCGCCAGGACTGAGGAGAGAGCATGGAATCTATTTCCGTGCAAGGCATCTTTAAAGCATGACATTTCCCATCTTCCTTATTAAATTAAGTGCTGTCCTCCTTTAGTGGCCTGGCTTTTTGTGCACTGAATCAGACACAGCATCTGATGAAATGTTTTGCAAGTAAGTAATGAGAACCATGTGCATTAATTTGAACTAATGGAGGCACAACAAAAATGGCACAGACCACAGGCTGAAGACTGAGTGTCAGGATTGTGCAGTGGGAAGAACACTGTTGGAACTGGGCAGATCTGGTGAGAAGTGACTGCATTTTTTTGGCTTACATCTTCTGATTCAGGGTCTCAGTTTTCAGTTATATAATAAAATTTTCAGCCTTTACCCTGGCAAAGGTCGTATTGAACCGTGGAATTTCAGAGCATTCCTCCGCCGCTCCCTGTAAAAGGAACTGGTCCTTGGTCAAGACAACAAAAATAAACATGCATGAACTTTATGTTCAGGGTTTTTTTTCTCTGGGTCGTGGATTTGACACAGCCCGGCAAAAAGGAGTTTTCTCTGCTGCTTCCTATATTGTACGAGTCCTGTTAATAAAGGGAAGCTCTTGTTCCTTTAAACTGTCAGCCTGGCGCTTTGCAAAGGCTCTTTAAAAATGCGAGCATAGATATACACGCACACACAAGGGAGAGGAGGGTGTTTAGGGAAGCAGGATGTTTATTGCCTATTTACTTTGTGCAGGGTTTTGGCAGTGTGACAGGCACCTTTCCACTGCCTGCCTGAGCAGATCCCTAAAGGCTCCAGTGCGGCACCTCTGCTGTCTCTGCGAGAGGCTCCGGGGCCTTGGGGTGCGATGTTCCCAAGCTGTTCCCAAGCAGCTCGGTGCTGGGCAGCCCCGGGATCAGCCCCGTGTCTGTTTCTGGGAGTGGGGCTGGCTGCAGGCTGGTGGCAGGGAAGTGACCGTGAGCCACGTGCGGTCAGGGGCAGCGGAGGAACGAAAGGGGCAGTGAGAGCTGAGCGACAACACAGCCCTGCCAAGCCACGCTCGGTGTCAATGTCTTCTCGTTACAGGCATGACCCGGATCGGGGAAGCTGATCGCAGGGAGGCAGGGGATGTCTGAGTGACTCGCGTAGCCTGGAATTGCTCCCTGGCTAATTAAGAGGGACGGAAAGAAGAGTGGCAAGAAGCAAGGCTTGAGGAAACCTAATGCTTCCGTGATCCCGTGGGAACATCCCAGCGCTTGGAAGGACTGTGCTGCCACACAACGGGACCATAAATCAGGCAGGAGCTGGGACCGGCTCTGGGCTGTTGGTAGTACTCCTGGGCTTGCAAACACAGATTAAAACTGGTAGCGTGTAGTGATAATCTCCAGCCATAACTGCCAATGTCTTGAGTCAATTACTGACCTGGTCACTCATGGCCAGCTCCAGCCCAAAGAGATTGGACTTAAAACCTTTAAAAACCCAAGGAAGGTCACCAATTGTGAATGGTGAGATGCATAAGGAAATGCGTTTTGAAATTAAGATAATTCTGATAGCAACAACCAGACAAATCAGAAACCTGTCAACAGGAAGCCCTGCTTGGCTTCAACTGTTACCCGAGCGAGACTGATGTATTTTAAGCAGTAAGAACCAGCATATGTCATCATATCTTATAGAAAAGTGTACACATGATAGTGTTTTGGTACAAGGAGAAACCAGAGACCCCCTGTCCTCTGAATCTCTCTCATGAACCTAGGCTCAGACCTCTAACCGAGCAGCATTCCCGGGCCCTGTGGAAAGTGTTTGCACCCCAAACCCGTGCTCGGCGGTGGGAGCTGTGCAGGGTGCGTGTCCCCGGGGACACGCTGTGCTCCCAGCCCCGCAGCTGCTCGCCAGAAATGCCAGCCTGCCCCCGCAGACAAAGGCTGCCTTTTGCTGAGCGTTGTGCAAAGCAGAGCTGTGGCGGCTTGCGCAGCTTTTAGCTCTCTGACCTTTGTTTAAATGAAACGCGGAGTAATTTGTATCTGAGAGGAGTTGTTCTGTCTCATTAACGTGATTAAATAGATGGCAGGGCGTCACTAAGTTCATTGCCAGAGAGACTGTCGCTTAGTAATTTCAACCGCAGCGATCCCATTATTCAGCCTTTTTCCTTCCCAAGCCTGCGTTGTCACAGGCCCTCGAGCAGGCTGGGTGCCACAGCGGCACCACCAAACCCCTCAGGGTGAACTGGGGCAGGGTCTCCCCTATAAGACCTGTGCAACCCTACAGACGTTTAGGGGCAGATATTTAGGGTGAGCCTGACACACACAGCCCCATGGGCCTGTGTGGCCTCAGGGCTGGGGCTCCTCCTTGATGGGGAGGCCGGGGAGCCACCGAGGGGGCATTATTTGAGTGTATTTGGGCCACTTTCACTGATTTTGGGCAACAAACAGGGGCAGGACCCCATCCACCTCAGCGGGGCCCTGAGGGAACCAAACACCCCCCCCCCCCCCCCCGTCCTTCCCGCCCCGCTCCCCTAGCAACAGCGGCAGCTGGCGGCCGCCCAATCAGCGCGCGGCGTCGCGGGCGGAGCCAATGGCGAGGCGAGCCCGGGGGAGGGGCGGGGCCTCGGGCCGGGGTGGGGATGGGAACGGGGAGCCGGGAGGGGGAGCCCGGCCCCGCGCCGCCATTTTGGCGTGTGAGAAACAAAAGAGGCGAAGCCGCCGCCGGCGCCGGCCCTGACAGCAGGTAACGGCCCGGCCGCCGCTCCTCGGCCTTCTTCTGGCTCCGTGCCTTCCTCAGAGTCCCGGGGGTGGGCTCTGAGGGGTGTGTGGGGGTCCCCTTTTAACCCTCTGGGGTGTGTGGTGGGGGTTGGGGCTGGCTGTGGGGTGAGGGTGGGATGGGATGAGGTGAGGTGAGGTGGGGATGGGATGGGATGGGGTGAGTGGGATGGGATGGGATGGGATGGGATGGGATGGGATGGGATGGGATGGGAGGGGGTGAGTGGGATGGGATGGGATGGGAGGGGGTGAGTGGGTGGGATGTAATGGGATGGGAGGGGGGTTCCTGCCCTGGTGTCACCCTATTTATGCCCTGCGCTGAGCTTTCAGCCTTACTCTGCCTCGTCCCACCTCGTCCTGCCTCGTAGTGCCCCGTCCTGCCTCATCCTGCATCGCTGCCCCCACCGGTGCAGGGCTTGTGGAGTGGGAGGCCGCGGTGGTGCGGGTGTAGGTGTTGGTCTGGCTCACGGAGCCCCTAAGGTCAGAAATTCCCCCCCTGACACGGTCTGGTGTTGGTTTGTGAGGTGTCATCCCTGTGTGGGACGTGCTGCAGGTTTGGGGGCCGCTGTAGGAAATTGCGGCATGACAAAACGGCAGGTTGGGGAGCGTTGCGTAACGGGATGCGCCGCTCAGCAACGCCGCCGCGCCAAGTGGGAAGCGCTCGGGGCTGGCTGGCGGTGTGGGGGCCCTCGGCCCCAGCAAAAACACCGGGGTTGGGGCTTTGGAAGTCGGCGTTCAGCTAAAGGAAATAAACGTTATCGCTGTTGATGGAATAACAGCCTCTCGGTAGCTACGCCCTGATACGTCCTTGGCCTGAATTGCACCGTGAAAAAGTACACATGTTGGAGGCAGATACCTTCCCCGATAGCAGCTGGAGCCTAATTGCCCTTACTTCTAGGCGGTCGGCTTTTATTTTTTTGCCGTGGTGCCTTCTGTGTCCCATAGCTGCTCAGATATTTAAAAAATGCATCCAGAGTGTGTGTGTTTCTTGTCCTCATGGACGTCTACGGGGCTCTTTTGTGCTAAGTAATGAAATAGGAATTATAGTATTTAGCTCTGGAATGGTTAAGCTCAACTCAGATCAGCAGTTAGCTTATGCAGCTCTGAGTTCCTTTAACTTTTGAGTTAGATGCCGTGGGATACGTTACTGGTGTTCAACATGTGAAATTAACTGGGAATAGTACAGATCCAATTTGATCCTTGAGAATAAAAAGATCAGGGTTATTTTGGCTTTTAAATGGCTCAAACAGTTGGTATCCATACTCATAGCTTTGTTTATGTCAGATAAATGAGCTAATTTGTAACATTTAAAATTGCCTTTGAGTTGTATTTGGGTATTTTCAGGATATATAATATTCTGGAATGGAAACTTATTTTGTATACACATGCAGGAGCACAGCAGTATGTGTGCTTTAAAATGGGTTTGCTACCTAATGCTTGCTTCTGTTTGGGTCCTTGAGCATCTTCCAGACAGTTGATGTAATTTGTGAATGGAGGGGGGGAGGGAGAACAACAGGGAGAAACCATTGAACAGTAAACATCCAGGATTATTTCTTCTCCTAAAATAATCTCAAGTGACCAGAAGTGTAGCCTGGTTAAGCCTTGCAGGAGGGATTTCAGGGAAGGACTGTAAGATGTTGGCAAGGATTATAGCCATTCATGTATACTTCTTTCTAAAAAATTAGGACCTTAAATGGGGCCAAGTAGCTTTTCATAAATTCAGATTCATTAATGTAATTGAAAGGCTCTTTTTCTCTCTCTTCTGCGTTTGCTGTTTATAGCTTTCTGGAGTAATCTGTTAACTTGTCTGCAGTACTTTGGTTGTACAAATAACATAAAATTTATTTTGCTATCTCTTCTCGAAACAAGGTAGATCGGAACCAGCATAATGGTGTGCCACAGAAACTTGGGATGGAGCTGGAAAGCTGGATAGCGGTCAGGCATGTGAACGCGAGGCTGTGCTCTCTGAAAAATTCCTTCCCTACCAGTTGCTTGCAAAGAATACTTCAGATTTGTCAGGCGTGAGGTTTTGTAAAAGCAGGATGAGAAAAGATGTTAAAGAAAGAAACTCTCAGCCTCCTGTCAGCGGTTGGGACCGCAGCCAGATCAGCGGTGTGGTGACACTTTCTAATTGTCCTCTGACCAGCTGGGGGGTGAGAGAGGATGTTTTCGGGATGACATTTTTTCTTCTGAAGGGTGGGGAGAGCAGGCATGCCTTGTCATGAGGGAGAGTGCCTCGGTCTGTCAGCAGCGTTGCTGTGGTCACAGATGTCTGCCTAGGTTAGGGAAAGGTGGTGGCACAGGGTGTGCTGTCGGGCTGATGGTGAAAGAACCACTGGTGATAGAGACTCCACAAAGAAATCTCACCTAAAGGGATGAATTAAACAGTAGTCACTCTTAATCTTTAAATCTTCACTGTCTAAATTCAGGGAACTCAGGTAAAGGTTGGGAATTTGGGGCTGGCTGGTGTTAAATGTCACTTATGTTGTGATCCTCTTCTGAGGGCGTTTGGAAATCAGGAGAGCCGGGTGAGCTGGTGCTTCCCTGAGCTCTGGAGCTGCTCCAGACCCACAGCATGTGAAGTAAGTGCCTCTGTGGTGTCCCTTTGATGCTGCCCTGCCTGGGGGAGCCGCGCTTCGCATGGGAGAGACGTGGGGCAGCCGTGGCCAAGGCGGGGGTTTGGAGCGAGGCATGGTTTGATGTGGCTTGTGATGCTGAGCCAAGGTGCAGCTTCCTCCTTTTGAAGCCGTCGGTTGTTTTCCTTCATATTTCTGTGCTGGTGAACACAAACTAGACACAAACGGACACAAACTAGAGGCACAGCAGCAGGGCAGGCAGGTATCTCTCTCTGGGGAGGACAAACTCGCTGCCTCCACGCTCTGGATGTGCTGACGCTCGGCTCGGCCCCGTTGGCAGGCGGCTGCGCTCGGTGCCTAGGCAACGCGGGTCCGGCCGAGCATCCCCGTGCCTCGCTCCCAGAGCTGAAAATTTTCCATTGCAGGGGAGAGGATTTTTCCTCTGTCTCTAATTCTTTTATCTGGCTTTCCGTCGTGCCCAAGGTGAATGTATCTTTGAAACGGTATAGGGATGGTTTTCAGGTATTAAGAAGCCACACTATGTGGTTTTAAGGTATAATTGTAGGTGGACATTTCTCTAGCTTTTCTTAGAAATGCCTCATACAATGTTATCCGTGGGCTTTTCATAATAACGATTTGGTTTCAAAATAATTCTTTTTCTTCCCCTTTGCAAAAAGCCCTGTGACACGACATAACGAGCTGGAAGCAGCCAGAATATTTCTGTCCCTGCAAAGCCTGAAATTCTGCTGATGCAGTGGAAGCAAAATTGTTCAAATGAAGGTTGCTTGCTGATGGTTAATCAAGTGTTTAGGAGCTCAGAACCATGACTGGGTCCTCTTGACTTGTGTAGGGCTAAGTCTCTGAGGTCCTGAGCCTGCCTCTGAAAGCCAGGGTGTGTTGGAATAGGGTAGTGATAACCTTCATAATGGGTACAGAAAGTACTCTCGCTGTGCTGGCCATCAGGTTCTTAAATTATCTTTGATGACTCCGCACCTGGATTGCTGGTGCGGATGGAAGGTCTTTTTCTGGAGGTAGCTGGAGCCAGCGAGTGCCCGGGTTTGCGTTGTTTTACTGGAAAAAGTCAAGGTTTGCCCATAAAATGGCTTGGGTCTCTGAGAGCCCTGCTGGGACTAGCTGCGTGATGGATGGTTGGGAGGCAGTGCACGAGCTGGGGTTGGTTTGGGGCTGTGATGTGCTGATCGGCCAATTAGTAGGCCCCACAGAACCGCTAATTAGTGACCTCACACAGCAGCCTTTTGGGGTGCTGCAAGCCTTGGTCCCTGTGTTCTCACCCTGCTGTGCTGACAGAGCTGGAAGGAGCTGCCGAGATGGGGACGACTCGCTGAAACTGATGGTGCCCCGGGTTGTGGATGGGGCAAGCAACCCCAAGGGCAGCAGATCCAATTACGGGGGCTGTCCTTCCTCGGAAGATGGCATTAGGAAGAAGGAAGGGTTTGGGGGCTTTATGCCAGAACGAGACTGGGATCACAAGTCCCGTCGAGTCCGTGATAGAACAGGCACAGCAGAAATGTTGATTTTCTTCCTGAGGCACAGATGGCTCTGACGACAGTACCCAAATAGCAGCGCGGTGCTGTGATGCAGAAAACTTCAACAGTGCCTGAAAGCCTATCAGGGATTGTGGGTGCTGCCTAATTTTATGCTTATGGAGGATGGCAGCTTCCTTCTAACGATTGCTCTTTTGCTTTTCACATATTTTTCCAGAAGAACAGCACATTAGCTGTCTTGTGCCTTGGATATACGTTAAGAACATGATGGCAAATTACCCTTTTAATCTGACGTCAGCCTACAGATGA